CCCCCCTCCTTGGCGCGCCTCCCCCTTGGCCGGCCTCCCCCAAGGCACAATAGACAATCTCTTAGTCGTGTGCGGTGCCCCCCTTCACAGTTTAACACCTCAGTCATACCGTCATAGTGCTTAGGCGAAGCCCTGCGCCGGTAACATCATCAACACCGTCACCACGCCGTCGTGCTGACGGAACTCTCCCTTGGGGCACCCCAAGAGCTCGAGGGATATCATCGTGCTGAACGTGTGCTGAATATGGAGGTGCCGTACGTTCGGTACTTGGATCGTGAAGACGTTCGACTACATCAACCGCGTTACTAAACGCTTCCACTTTCGGTTTACGAGGGTACGTGGACACACTCTCCCGTCTCGTTGCTATGCATCTCCTAGATAGATCTTGCGTGATCGTAGGAATTTTTTTGAATTACTACGTTCCCTAACAGTACCGACGCAGTTTCAAGCGACATCACGCCCCCCCCCACACACATTTAGGTTATGGCAAAGATAATAAAGGGTCGGCCCGTGGACGCAACGAATGGTCGGTTCTCCGTTATTCCTTGACAATTGCAAAGGTAAAGATGAGAGGAATTTTTTTCGATTCAAGATGAGAGGATATTATTGTCACCTCTTTACCTCCACATCCGTACCTTTACAACGATGGTAATACATTCCATGGCGAAAATGTTGAGTGGGGGCCTTACACAACATTCATGAAGGTTATTACTTCAAACATTTAGACGAGGTTTTCATATCCTACCGTTGTTAACACCTGAACATACTAGGGTTCCTCCATATGCCCGAGAACTAGGAATTACTCATACATAGAAACAACTAGCATCGAATGGATAACTGTGGTGATCATGAACAATACATCAAAGTAATACACACAATAATCCACCAGGGTTCAATATTACAAAAAGATGAACATGGGGATGGTGGTGTCGATGGTTGATGTGAGAGTCTCCTTGAATGAAGTGACGGTGTAGCGGAGCCCTTCTTGTCGATTTCCCTTCTGAATCCCTTCTGGAGGCTAGGGTTCTTCGATATGATGGAATTTCTGGCATCACGGTATCTTCTCCTCCCGATGAAGACACAGGGGTAATGTAGTTGACCAGGTGGAGCTACGGCTACTGGTACAAGCGTTCACGCTCGTACGAGACATTGTCTTCTTCTCTAGATCCTCATGTGCGCCGAGTTTTCTTCCTGTTTTAATGATGGCCTCATATGGTAGGTTCCTATCACATAAATTGACGTAATTTTTACCTCATATTCTTGGGCTTTCCTCCTTATGCCGCAAAAATCCTCATGGTTGAGATCCTGGTGAAAATAGACAAAAAGACGTGTGTGGTTGCGGTAAAATTCTGGCAAAACCTTTGATTATGACACAAAACACAAGATAAAATAGTGGTAAGAAACTGGACTCATTAGTTGTCCCTCCCACCATGAGAGCATCACGATCGCCGCTCCCGCTCGATCTCGAGGCATCACATGTCGTCGCTCACAACAACGTTGCCCCCTGTTTGCAACGACAAGGGGCCGAGGTGGTCGCCATTGCAGCACCCAACGACACCCCTTGTCGAATCGACGTGTCTAACGGTAGGCCTTGTAGCACCTCCCAAGCCCATAATTGTTCTTCCAGGACGTAGAACGCTATCCAGGTTCTTGTTCTTGAATCGTGGGGTTGGTAATTCTTCTTCTAAACCAAGTTGGCACTAGAATTTCCCTCTCCTTCTCTTCCACATCAAGAGCGCCACTAAGATTGATGACAATAAATTCTGTTTGTCTCTCGTGCTTCAGAGAGGGAGAAAAATTCCTCCATGAAGGAGAAAGCTTGGCAATGACGCCTCTGGTAATGAACTTGTCCGGCGACATACAATTGGAATGCTCAAGTTACTTAGTGAGTGACTGAATTTCATGAGCCTGCTCAATCACGGAGCGGTCATCCATCATCTTGTTGGTTAGGAGAACGAGAAGACGAGTCATGTTGGTCAAGTTGTCGAAGATTGATGAAGGTGGCATTGGTGACAAACTGAGGACAAAAAGGCGGAGGCCGTAGGCGAGGGGGCAATAGTGCACAGGGACAAGAAGAAGATAACAGTACTTGTGTAGACATGAAGAACAACAAGCTGAAAAATAAGATTGAAGAGAGCTTATATACATGGATTACAGTTTACTATATGTACTCTTTCTTGAACCTTGACGTAGCACTCCACAAATTCATTGGCCGCGGTAAAGGAAACAGTAAACTGTTGCTTAGTCATCACTCAGAGAAGGAGTCCTATCCTAACTAACAACAGTCCTATTCGGAGGTGAAACCCCGTTTACAAAGGATGTGGATAAACCAATTCTTTTTCCAAATATAACATTATCAAAAAACAAAAGAAAAACAAGGCACCAACCCAACCCCACCCGGCCACGGGATGCCTGATGATTGGTGGACGCCAATAATACCCTGCTCTTTCCCCTCTCTTCTTCCTCCTCCGGCCTCCCTGTCGCTCCGCCCCATCCATCCGCGCCTCCAAATAAAGTAAGCGCGGCCACCCGCACCACCGAATCCTCCTCCGCCTCGCAATCCGCCCTCGCCCTCCCGCCACCGCCTCCGCTCCCCGCGACCATCCATCCCCTTCCTCTTCGCGGAGGAGAGGGAGCACGCCGCGCGCGGCCGCCATGGGGTTCTGGGAGGCCTTCCTCAACTGGCTCCGCAGGTATGGTTCTACAAGCATGCGCCCTGGGCGGGCGGGTTCAGATTATCGAGTTTGACGCGCTGTGCATTGCGGGACGGGCGCGGGGGTCCGCGTGCGGGAGATCTGGGAATTCCGGGTCGGTCTAGGATTAGCATGCCTTGGCTGCTCGCTGGATCGGATACTTGCTGGGGCAGGTTGAACGATATTCGTGCTACCGTATATTTCGTAGGAAGTTGTTTTTGACGGTTGGCACTTGACAGAAAGCTTTGACCTGTATGAAGGTGATGCTGGTTAGCAGCAGCATGGTGTTATTTGTTTGGGTCCCGATAACTGCCACACGTGTGGTGTATCGGGTAGTTGTGCCACACGCCTCGTGTGGCATGGACAGCAACCAGCCCACACATCTACGTGTGGGCAAAACAACTAATGCCCACACACATCTTTTTTTCCCTCCTGAACCCTCTCACACGCGTGCGTGTGGGCGAAGTTGATAATGCCCACACGCCTGTATGTCAGGCCTTGTACCCTTCTGGTCCCGCACACGACGCGTGACGCCCACGCGCGCCCGCAGTTGCCATGGTCCAGACCCTCGTCCATATTCGTTTATCTGCGGTTGCCATGTCGCTGAACTACGGTTGCCATGTCGGACAACTGCAGTTGCCATGGTTGCTCAACTGCAGTTGCCATGTATGGTCTGATCTAATGTAGTTGCCATGATTTCATAACTTTAGGAATTGCCACATACTAACACTAGGCGGTTGAGAGAGTTGTCATGTGCTCACAAGCATGCTAGGGCAGTTGCCATGTAAAAAGGAAGAGTTGCCATCTGCTTACGTGCACGTTAGGGCAGTTGCCATGTACGTGCACATTGGGGCAGTTGCCATGTACCATGCAAAAACACATGGCAACTCGGTAAAAGATAGTTGCCATCTGCTTACGTGCATACTAGGCAGTTGCCGTGTACCCTGCAAAAACACATGGCAACTCGGGTAAAAAAAGAGAGTTGCCACCTGCTTATAAAGCACAGTACAGGCAGTTGCCATATGCGCTGCAAAAACACATGGCAACTAGCAGCTTACGTGTGGGAGAGGAGACGGGCGTGTGGGCGAGATGGCAAATGCCCACACACCAGCCCTTGTGCGTGACTGGAAACTGGTGTGTGGGTGACCTGCTAAACGCCCACACACCGGCCCCTCCGTGTGGTAAAACGGATGTGTTGGCGAACTATGTCACACACCACACACACGCCTTGTCCTACGTGGCACAGAAAATCAGCCAGATTGTGTCAAGATTCGTGCATATAGTACTGGACGGTGATGGATGCGTGTGGTTGAGATGGTCAACGCCCACACGTGTGGGCGTTAACATTTCCGATTTGTTTTTCTCCATCTGATAGTGCCGGTAATCATAAGGAAAGTTGGTCCTTATGGTTATTTTACGTGAGCCTAGTTCAGATTATGGAGTCTTGTGGCTTCGAGGCGCTTTGTGGTATCTTTGTATGGCAGAACTTCTCGCCATCGACTACACATGGCGATCGCATTATTGATTGAACACGTCGATCGAACTATTTAATTGTGTATGCCTGCCTATCGATAGGAGAGATGAAGGGACACGAAATTCATTCTTATCATTTCTGTGATGGGGTCAATTTATCCCCTGCTAACATCGCCTAGGGCGAGAAGTCATACGACATTTTCTCATGATAGCTATGGTCAATATTTTTTGTTATCCTGCTTTCTTATGGACTCTTATCTTGTCAAGAGAGAAAAAAAGGCCATTTCCAATATGCATTAATTAATGAACTTCCCTGTTCTGCTCAATGAACTCTTAAGAAATCTGGTTCCACCTGTAAGTGACACGTAGTAAATTCTACTCGTTATGTCGTTATGTTGACTAAGATAGGGCTACCACACATACCACGTAATGTTCATCCTCGTCATAAACTTCCTTAAATGTTTAGTTTGTGATAATTTGTCAATGCATACCATTAAATTTTCCATAGTAGAATTAGCCCAAGGTTAGTAATGCTTCTCTTGGAATCTAATCATTGGAATGAAAATGAGTTGCCAGTGGGCTGTATGCTATGATTTGTTTCATTTCTACCTACCTGCCAGGTAGGCTTTGCTTCTTACACATATATAAACTAGGGGCTTGGGTTAAAGGATCTCTTGCACATGCCATCATTAAGTGGTGGAGCACAGTTTTGACTTGTGTGCCAAGAAAATAAATGCACAGACGTAATTAGTTACTCATATTTTCTTCATTGGAGCTTGATTCAAGTATTTACCCTTTTTTTTGTGCGTCTACAGCCTCTTTTTCAAGCAAGAAATGGAGCTTTCATTGATTGGGCTCCAAAATGCTGGGAAAACTTCGCTTGTGAATGTTATTGCTGTAAGTTTCATGCTTTCTTGTCACTATTCATTTCCTGGAGTTGTGCTGATTTACCATCGATGGCCTATTCTGCAGACAGGAGGTTTTAGCGAAGATATGATTCCCACAGTAGGATTCAATATGAGAAAGGTAACCAAAGGAAATGTCACAATAAAATTGTGGGATCTTGGAGGCCAGCCAAGATTCCGGAGCATGTGGGAGAGATACTGCCGTGCTGTTTCTGCAATTGTGTATGTTTCTGTACTGTCTATTTTTATGAATTTTCGTAAAGAAAAGCACTGCTCTTTTACTCACCTGACAAGATTCTTTGCTGTTGGTTGTTGCACATGTCTTTATCTTTTTCACATTTTGTTCGTTTTGTTGTATGCTTAATTATATGCATTGGTTAACACCTATATTGTCCAGATACAGTGATAAGGGTACAGATAGCACAATATGTCAATTTTTCAAAAACACAGATATGGGGATATGTTTGTATATATATAAAATAATAATAACAATAATATATAGGAAATAATTATTATATGAATATATATGTCAGTTTAGGAATACTAATAATATGATAGGAAGATGGAAAATGCACCATAAATATGATCCTAGTTTTCTCCAGCCACTGCAACTTTAATTTGAAGCTGCCGAAGAGTAGGATCAGTCACATTTGGGCACAATCTGATCCCCTTCTCGGATATCTTGAGCAAATGTGCTTGAACTCTGTTGTAGCTTCCTCTGTATTCTTGTGTACAATGCTTACAGTACATCTGAATCGGACATTCCCTCCACCCCATGCATCTGCCTCCATAATGCCTACATGATTCCACAAAGGCCTGTTGCTTAGATCATTTGCCAGCACATCCTAAAATAGTGCGAGGCACATGCAACAGTAGACAATGAGAAAATAATTTTTACAAGCAAGGGCACATAGGATAAAATCTCATACTCACCATGGCTAAGAAAATGTCGTTCAGATTTGGTGAGGTGCAGTGCCGGAGTAGTGGCTGCTAGTCTTCCCTTCTCAAGTGCGGTGCCATAGGGGGAGGGAGCAGTGGATGCTGTCCTCTTCCTTCCTCGTACAGGCGTTGCTCAGGTCAGGGGGAGGGAGCAGGGGTGGAGGCGCTAAGATGCGGGAAGGGATCATGGCGGCTGCGCTCAGACGCAGTCGCCGGATGGTGGTGCTCTAATCCGGGCAGGGAGGTTGCTGTGGTGGCGCTCAGATCTAGGAATGGGAATGACGGAGCAATGCTGGCTGGGTCTCTCCTTCTCTGGTGTGGTGGGCTGGTGGCTGGGTATCTCCTTCTCCTGTGCGGTGAGCGGCGGTGCCCTAACAAGGGGAGGGAGCGTCGGTGGCTCGAAGCCCAGGCCGGGAGGGATGAAACGAGAAAAGGGGAGACCAGGAGAGGGGATTGCAGGTATGGATGGACACATGGATTAGGATTTTCCCGGTTTTTTCGTGTCCGACAAGTATTCTGGGGTATCCCACCAATGTCCGATTTAGTTTAATTTTTGGATTTGGAAAAGAAAAATCCGGGGATACGTATGTGATACGTTTCGGCGGGTGTCCAGACAAATTCTCGTATCCGGGCGTATCTAACCCCTGATACGCCAGTTTCCTGCCGGATCCGGGTAACGTACGTCAATACAGATAAATGCACTGCTGAATTAGTATATTAAATTTATCTACTAATATATTTGGTGAATTGAACTGGTAGACATCCTAGAACTTGAATAATTTTATATTGTCACTGTATTGGCATTCACTCCCAATAAAGTGTATCCTGATTAGTTTGGGTACCTTGGGGCACAGATGTTATGGTATCAGTGTAAATTCGTTTTTCCTCAATTATCTAGTCTAAGCACTTACTATAAGAATCTTGTACTCTACTTTCGTTGTCATAATTCTCTTTATGGCAAGGATAAGTGTGAGTTTGACTTGTGACTGTGATTACTAATTGGTCCTTTCACTTAGACTGGATCTAGGATTCCTTGTTTGTTTTTCCTGATTATTCTATTCGCCTAGTATATCTATTCGCCAGGTCTACTATTCTGATTCATTCCCACTTGACGTATGTATATATATATTATTATAGCCAGCTGCATAACAACTGGATCGGGTTTAGGGTTTTTTATGTACGCTTGATCAGTATTTTCTGTTGGAGGCTTTAACAAACTATAAGAAAAAAAAAATCTGTATTGCTGATGATTTTTTAAACAATTGCATCTGCAGGTATGTTGTTGATGCAGCAGATCGGGAGAACATGGCTATTGCCAAAAGTGAGCTCCATGACCTTCTGAGCAAGCCATCTTTGACCGGTATCCCATTACTAGTCATTGGCAACAAAATCGACAAGCCTGAAGCTTTCCCTAAGCAAAGTTTCACAGAATTGATGTAAGTACACACAGAAGCTACTATGAACAGATCCAAATTACTCATCAATCGATACCCTATTTGACGAACCATATGCTGCGTTTCAGGGGTCTGAAGGCAATGACTGATCGAGAAGTGGCCTGCTTCATGATATCATGCAAGAACTCGACCAACATTGATTCTGTCATTGACTGGCTGGTGAAGCACTCAAAGAAGAAGAACTGATCCAGATTTGTTGCCTTTGAAGTGCTGCAGATTCTCTCTCTGTTTTTTGCATGGTACTTAGCATTGGGGCTGTAAATTATGTGAGAGGTCTTAATCAGAAAGGTTATGTGTTCATAATTGATAATTGTGTAACCTGTTTTAGCAATCTGTTGGTTGACTGCATCTGGCATTTGGACGCGTGTGCTCTGTTAGGCTGCTACAAAAAGCCTACAACTTACAGAAGTCTTTAGATGCTGCATACTTGCTTGGTGAATTTGGATCTCTGCATGGTTTTGTGCATTTGTCGGTCAATCTGATGAAATGTTGAATTCTGCGGGCGATTGAACGATAGGCACTTATTGCACCTAACATGGGTTGGGTTCCTTAAATTTCTCTAAATTCAAGATAAATACATTTAAGTGTCAGAAAAATTTGAAACATCATACAGGCAGTATATAAATTTGGAGTCCTTGCATGCTTGCAGTTTTTTTTGAAAGAAACATTTTGTGCTGTGAAAACCCAATTTTTTGTGCTCGCTTTTCTCAGCACTATAAACATGTATTAACATATTTAAAGAAAACATGTTGTAACACTTTTTTTTGCCACAAAACATGTTTTTAATACGTGACACAGTGCTGACATTTTCCCATCATTCAAATGTGCTTCCTTTTTATATATTATTATATATAGTTTCTTTTCGCTGCTATGGGGATTTGATTTTTAATTAACATTCAAATCTAAATATGGGCATCTTTGATTGCAATTTTTTTTGTTTTGTTGATAGCTTACCAAGCTGACCACTTGGCCAAATCTGGGCATCTGTCAAAACTATATGAATCACACGTCTTCCAAATTCGAAGGAAAATCACCTCAAAAGAAATCGAAGGAAAAGGAAATTTCTTTTTGAACTAATGAAAAGGAAAAGGAAAGTTGTCGCCTCGGGTCATCCCGAGTTCTGAATCGGAAGCCCAGACGGGCGAGTCCTCTCCTCGGTTCCCCACAATCGTTCCTAGAGCCAAACATGGCGGCGTCGCTCTCCAAAACCCTCGGCCTCCGGCTGCGAGGCAGCGGCGGCCACCGCCTCCTCCCCTCCCGGCCCTCCACTTCCCACGCGCCCCAGCCACCACCTCCGCCCGCCGCCGCCCCGCTGCCCCCAGGTCTTCGCCCTTACCGCCTCGCGAAATGTCTCGCAGAGCATATTCGAAGTCAAGCCGCCGCCGCCGCCGCCGCCACATTCTAACCAGATTTGTTTCCTCGCGCAGGAGCAGGGAAGGAGGCGGGCGCGTGGTCGAAGCTCTTCCTCTTCGCCCCCGGCGCCATCACCTTCGGCCTCGGCACATGGCAGCTCTTCCGGCGGCAGGAGAAGGTCACATCCCCACTCACGCACCCCCTCCTTAGGCTGGCCGTATGGTTCACGATTAACCCTGGAAATCCTCACTCTGTGCTGTTTCCTGCGCCATCTCAGCTAGAGATGCTGGAGTACAGGACGCGGAGGCTGGAGATGGAGCCCGTGGCGTGGAACGAGACCGTCTCCTCTGCTGTCTCGAGTGATCCGGCTGTGCTGGAGTTCCGGAAGATCGTGTGTGAGGGCGATTTCGACACGGAGAAGTCGGTCTTCCTCGGGCCTCGCTCCCGGAGCATCTCCGGTGTGACTGAAAATGGGTATTATGTGATCACTCCGTTGATACCTCGGCCGACTGAGCCTGGCAGGTAAATTATTTTTTGAAGCAGCATTGTCCTGTTGCAAATGAAACTCTAGTTTCTTCACAGTTCACATTGTCCATTTCCTTTGAGCTGACGTCTTAATTCAGTTCTACACTTCCACTTGGACAAAAAGCCATTTCCAGTTTTACCATAGTCAGGTTTAGAATCTGATTACCATTACGCCTATCATATCCTTTCACAATACAAGGTATCAAACTCATCAAGGAATAAAAACACAACCTGAACTCTAGTTGTCAGTACTTTTCATGCTTCTTTGTTCTAAATTGACTTCTTTTTGTACCCTTGCACATGTTATCTTTGGGAAAAGATAAAATCAGCAGAGAAAGCATGAACTAAATAGTGAAATTAACCGCTATGTACATATTGGGTTCTGCATATTTGGAGTTTTTTGTGCCTAGAAGTGAAGCATTAGATCTTTGTCTTGTAACTCCTCTTAGCTGTTCTCCTGAACAAGTTTTTGTCACTTAATTAGTAATCCATGAGGAAAGGACCTCTAGTTTCAAAAGGAAAGTAAAAAAGTACTCCCTCCGTCCGGAATTACTTGTCGCGGAAATGGACGAAAATGGATGTATCTATAACTAAAATACATCTAGGTACATCCATTTCTCCGACAAGTATTTCCGGACGGAGGGAGTAAAAGACTAGAAAACAAAAGCAATTCTGTATGGAAGTTCCTATACTTCCACATATTGTGGACAACCCATTTACTAATTATTAATAAGAAAGCTATATACAAGTCTATTAAAGGACCAACCCTAGTTGTTAAACTGTACTTCAAGATACTAAAGGAGCCTTCACTTGGGCGTTCGCTTCTGCCAAATATATCTACCTATATCCATGCTAGGTTCAGTGCCTGCAGAGTTTTGAGCGATCAAGCTGCAATCTCATTACCTGAGACTGGTTAGGCTTTGTCTCCCGCAAATCACGATCACAACAAATAAGAATTAATTGATGTTATGCTGAATGTGTTGACCATAGAAATAAACCCTAATGTCTCACCACTTCCCCTTTTATCTAAAACTTTTTGTTTCTAAGAAATGTTTTGTCAGTTTGCAGTCACCCATCCTTGTGAACAGAGGGTGGATTCCTCGTGCTTGGCGTGATAAAAGCATGCAGGATCAGCAGGACCTTGGTGAAACTTTAGATGTGAAAGAGGCTGATAAAAAGACAAATGAAAAAGGTACTTGGTGGAAATTTTGGTCTAAGAAGCCTGAATCTTCTCCAGAGGTGATTTACAGCCCCAACCAAATGTATGCATATCAATAGTTTGCTCATCTGATCAGGCTATCATGTGTTTTTTTACATATTGTTGATATTTTCTGAGTTCGATGGTTCTTGAACTCTCTAAATGATAACACTGTTGCAGTCCATTAAAGGATAACTTCTATGTATAATTGTTAACTTAACCTGCTTTTAATCTCACAAATGCAGTTATTGATGGTTGCTAGAATATTTAGTATGTAAGTGAGCTGGTTGGGTCTTATGTCAGTTTTGAGTCAATACATGCTGCCACGCTTGTACACATATAAAAACCACCATGGTATTCTGGTAGGAACCGGATCCCTACCAGGGCGTGGTCTCAGGTTGTAGGGATGGAAGGAGGGATGGCGTGGAGGAAGGCGTGGTCGCCGGCGCTGGGGTGCCGTCGTTGTGTGCGCGCGCGAGAGAGAGAGCAGGGGCGGCGGCTAGGGTTAGGTCTCCCGGCTCCCTAAGGAAGCCGAGCAAATATGATTGCTTCTTGCTTAATCCCAAAACGGATCCTTACACGAGTTTATATAATCCTCCTAATAAGATAATTGGGCTAAGCCCCTAATAACGATAAGATAAACTGGGCCACAACTAACTGGGCTAAGCCCCTAATATGCCGGTCATAACATATTCATTACTCCTTCCGATCCATAATAAGTGCCGCATTTTGAACTAAGGTTGAACTAACCTTAGTTCAAAACTGCGACACTTATTTTGGATCGGAGGGAGCATCTTATTTTATATATTTAGGAATTTCATTTATTTGTATCATCATTATCTTATACGATGTAACTATACCCTTTACTTGGCAGACACAAAATTGATGCATCTTACTTTGTACAGATTGAAAAACCTGTAAAGCCTCCTGTAAGAGTTATTGGAGTAATCCGAGGAAGTGAGAAGCCCAGCATATTTGTTCCACCTAATGAACCTAGTAATGGCCAGTGGTTTTACGTGGATGTCCCCATGATTGCACGTGCATGTGGCCTCCCTGAGAACACTGTCTATATAGAAGATATGAATGAAGACATCTCTGCAAGTAATCCTTATCCTCTTCCAAAAGATGCCAATGCTTTGATTCATCACTCGGTGATGCCAGATGACCATCTGAAATACACCTTTACATGGTAAGTGCCCCCAATTCATCAACCTTGTCTCCAGTTGGGTATACAGAATATATAATAGTATTTTCAAGAGTCATCTAATCAGGGATATTGTATTATACCATTTTGCGTCAGTTATATCTTTTGGGCTGCTGTCACTAGAACCTAGAAGTGTTGTGCTTCTCATAGAAAATTCGAGGGCAGTTTCTGGCTGTATCCGACATACGCAATTGCTTTGAGGTTTATTGTAGCTACAAATCAAATTGCTGTTATTATCTGATGACTTGAGTTTGAAAGTTCAGTACCATACCATGATAGTCGATGTCTGTCTAAGCACATATGCGCTGAACATGCAAAATCAGTTTTCTTTTCTTCTCTGACTTAATTGCTTATCCATACAGGGGGGAAAAGATTATTAGTAAGCTATGCACCTCTAGTACAGTAATACTCGAATGATGAGTTGGTATCTTGCCTATTGCTTGGATGAATCTAACTTGTATCATGCATCTGGTAACCGTCTTTGGAGTTGTTGCACGTGGTACTTGCAGCCATAGCATAATGCTTGTGTGCCAACTTACAGAATTATGGGATGTTCTATCATGATCTAACATTTTGACTGAAGCACTAGGATCTAGGATAGGAAAAGAATGTGTTGGAGAAATCAGAGAATAGCATACGGTGTTACATTCTTGAAATCCCTTAGGTATCCCAGTCTATACCCGTAATATGTGATCAGCTCAGAAGTTCATTAGTGCACGGACGATTTTGCACATTCCCATTCATATTTCTTAATTATGCTGTTGATGGTGGCTGTCTTGCGACCACTTTTATCTTTTGTGATTACCAGGTACACTCTTTCTGCTGCTGTGACTTACATGGCCGCAAAGCGGATAAAGGCAAAGAAGGTGAGGCTATAGCAGGAGTGCAGGACCGAAGCCCAATAAA